CCGGCCCGGATGCGTTTGGGCGCTGTTACCGGGATGGAGGTACTGATGATTTCGCGCGGCAACGACAGATAGGCAGGGCCGCGCGGCGACGACATCATCAACTCCATCGCCCTGTCCACGGCATTGACAGTCTCAGTCGCTATTTTCAGTTCATAGTCCCACTTGACGAATTCACGAAGCATGCCCGCCTGGTCAAACATCTCCTGTGCCCAGTGGATGTTGCGACTGCGCGAACCATGCAGGCCGGTCTCGGTGATGGGGGTGCGCCCCGCCATGAGCAGGATGGGCGCGTTGTCCCGGTTGGCATTGGCTGCGCCGTTAACGGTGTTGGCCGTACCGACGTTCACATGGACCATCACGGCCTGCGGACGGCCTGTTACCAGGAACACGCCGTGGGCTATCGCAACAGCGGCATTCTCATGCGTGACAACTATCGGCTTCGGTATGGACTTTGCGATTTCAGGGTCGGCTTCGGCCATTGAAAACGCTTCAACAATCGCCGGAAAATCAGTCCCGGGATTGCAGAAAAAATACTCGACGCCGTGCGCACGTAGCCGTCGCAACATGACCAGCGCGGAAAGCTCTTGTTGTGGCGCGCCTCCCGCGACGGCAGTTTTTTGATCAATGGCCAAAGCTGACATATCACCCATATATTCCAGTCCAGAGAAATGAAAGGCAGGTCTTGCACTGCCGTACTGCTTACTTGATGGAGGCCCCGGACAGGCGGATAACTTCCGTCAGTCGTTCGGTGTCCCGTTTAATGTGCGCGTCGAACTGGGCGGTGCTGCCCCCCACGACATCACCGCCGGCAATCCGGATAGTCTCGATCACCGCTGGATCCTTGAGAGCCCGACTGGTCTCCTCCTGAAGCCGCACGACAATCTCCTTGGGCGTGCGGGCTGGCACCAGCAAGCCAAACCAGCCAGTCAATTCATAGTCGGGAATTCCCAGTGCTTCGGCAACAGTTGGCACATCAGGCAACAGCGGCGAACGTTTGGACGATGTCACGGCCAGCGGTTTGAGCTTTCCAGCCTTGACGAACTGCAACGCAACGGGCAAATTCACGAACCCGATCTGCAGTGTGCCGCCGATGTGATCGGTCGTGGCCTGCGCGTTACCCTGGTAAGCCACATGGGTGAACTTCGCGCCGATTTTCACGGCCAGCAATTCAGCAGCAAGGTAACTTGAGCTGCCCGCACCCGGACTTCCGTAATTGAGTTTGCCAGGGTCTTTTTTGGCGAGTTCAACCAGTTCACGCAGAGACTTCACGGGAATGGAGGGGTGCACCGTCACCACATTAACCAGCTCCGCAACCTCAATGACGGGTGTCAGGTCTTTGGACGGGCTAAATGGCATGCTCGCGTACAGGGCAGGGTTCGCGGCAAGAGGCAAGCCGTTCATCAGTATGGTGTAACCGTCAGGTGCAGCCTTGGCGACAAAGTCACCACCGATGTTGGTGCCTGCGCCGGGTTTGTATTCCACAATCACCGGCTGACCAAGCGACTCCTGAAGTTTGATGGCGATGGCCCGCGCAAAAATATCCCCCGTGCCACCGGGTGTTGCAGGCACGATGATTTTGATGGGCTTGGTGGGGTAGGCCTGCGCCACGGCGAAGCGGGGCAGCGTTGTAGTCAGCAGTGTGGCTGCGGCAGAAAGCAGGAAATGACGGCGCATGGTGTTCCTTGCCTTATTTCGCAGAACCGACACCGCCGGTGAACTTGATGACCTCGGTCAGGCGGTCTGAATCCTTCTTGATGCGTGCATCGAACTGGGCAGCGGTACCGCCAACCACGTCACCACCCGCAACCTTGATGATCTCGATGAGTGCCGGGTCCTTCAGGGCCTTGACCGTTTCTTCCTGCAGGCGGGCAATGATCTCGGGCGGCGTTTTGGCAGGGGCCAGCAAGCCGAACCATCCATTGAGCTCATAGTCTGGAATGCCCAGTGCTTCGGCAACCGTCGGCACGTCAGGCAGCAGTGGGGAGCGTTTGGAAGAAGTCACGGCAAGTGCCTTCAACTTGCCGGCCTTGACGAACTGCAAAGCCACCGGAAGGTTGACGAACCCGACCTGCAGCGTGCCACCGATGTGGTCAGTCGTGGCCTGCGCATTGCCAT